GAAGGGAGGCAGCTGTAGGTTTAAGTTATGAAAATAATAATTTATAATTTATCAAGGGGTCACGAGGGTGGGGTGGTGGAAAAAAAGAGGAGCTGATACCAAGGGTTCAATAGAAAGTAGTTGTCTAGAAAAGAACGATGGTAACATATGTACAAACATGCCTGATACAATTGATGTATGGACTTACAAGAGTTGTAAGAGACCCCATTAAAATGATCTTTTAATAATAATTAAAAAGATTCAACATTGTTAACAGGTCTATGCTTTTAACTCCTGTGTATTTGCACGAATCAACACACAGAAAAGTCTGGTTTTTTTCCCCACATACATCTTCAGTTCCTTTTATTCTTTCCAAAGTATTCCTCTTTCATTTAGCTTCTGGCAGGCCCCACCACCCTCCCAGCAGCCCCTCCAGCTGGCAGCCTGTGGGGACAGACACAGCACCTTGACACACATCTAGTTAACACCAACTGACAAAGCAGCTTCCGAAGAACTCAGCCTGTGTCCCACCAAGGCTGCCCTGCCCCCTCCAGTTTCTGTGCCTGTCACAGTGGGACGCACTCCTAGGCCTGGGCGTGGCACCGCATGGCACGTGGCTCTGGGCGTGGCATGGAGTGGGGGCTCCTGCCACCTGTACTGGTCTGCAGCTGAGTCTTAGCAGACCTGTGGTGGTCAGCCAGTGACTGTGGCCGGTGCCCACGACCCAGGCATCACCTGCCTTCATATACTAACCAGCTGACTTGTGCTGGGCCCAAGGGCGTGCGCTGAACAAGGGGCATCCCTGAATAGGGGGCGGGGTGACCAGTCAGCTGGGGGTGAGCCAATCCCCTCCCAAGTCACGCCTTAGAGGTGGGCTTGTTCAGAGCACCCTTGGAGACCCCCTACAGTGGGCAGTGACAGCTTTCAAGTGTCCTGCCCACTACAGACAATGATGCCATCACCTGTCATCCAGCTACCAGGATCTTGTCACTTTGGAAAGTGACCTAAGAGGAACCCCCTCCCCTGCACCCTTCCCACTCCACAGGTGCCCCAGGTATTGAGGGTGCGACAAGACTGTGGTGCTGCAGTCAGTCAGGTGTTCAGGCCAGACCCGTAAGCCTCGGCACAGTCCCTCTTCTCTCTGCCCTCTAATGACACAGCTGTGGCAGGGTGGAGCGCTGCAAAGCCTCCAGGGGCAGTCAGCAAAGTGTCTTAAGGGCAAGGATCCAAAAGCAATAGAGAGAAGTTATTTCTTTGTTTGGAGGGTAGGATTATCAACAATTCTTTTCCTTTTTTGTGGGGGAGGGGATGCAAGGATTTCCAAATCTCTCTAACTTTTAATTATGCTCACATTATACGAGCAACTTATAAACACTTTTTCATTGCAGAAAACTACATCCTATATACCTTTTATCAACAGAAAAAATAAATATTAAACGGGTGGGGGTGGCCACAGTATACAATCAAGGCAATACCATCTCACTAACAGGCTCTTCCTCTGTCTTCCTTCTCACTGACCAAAGACATGAATACCACGAGCTGCCCCAGGGCACACAAACTGTACTGCCATTTCCACAAAGGCCAAATACAACCTCCATGGCTTTCTACTTTTCTATTTTCTATCCCAAGTTTTTAATGTTGTCGTTGCTGAGATTCTATACAGCTTGCACCCATTCAACAGGGTCTCCAGGTACCCTGTCATGACACTGGTGATGTTCTTCCAGTTGTGCAGCCAGCCCCATCCTCTTTTTCTGAGTGCTCCTCTCCCATGAACATGAACTCACTGCCCGTCACTCTCCCATCCTGCTTTGGAGGTGCTGTGGTCAGAGCCTATTTTCACACAAATACTGTACAGGCCATGTTGTTTTGCCAGCCTCGCTAACGCCCTTGAGATATTTTCATGAGGGCACTAAGCCAATGCTTTGCATGCAAGTGAGAAGGGGAAAAAAATTACAGTGTCCTCCGGAATATCCCTACAAATAAGAGAGTAGTAGACAAAAAGCACGTGGCACCGACTGCACAGGAATATGGCAGCGAGGTCTTGAAAGAACACAAAGATCTTGAAAGCTCTAAGCACACATTCTTTACGTGTTCAGGTTTCAGAGTGGTTATCTCGGGGTCATCAATTTGGTGGGTTCATCCAACCTCGATGACTCTAGAACGTCTGGATTCCAAGAGAATTGAAATCCTGTTCTGCAATTCTCCCCAGATTTGCTATTTGCTAGAAAGTCTGCTCATCAGCTAAGTACCTATGATTCTGAACTCTTCCCCACAGCCAGTAGAAGGCTCAACGTCTTAGTGAGAGGCAGGCACTACAAAACTATGGCTGAAAACAGAACGCCAGGATCGGGGCCTGGCAAATCAATAGTTAAAAAAAAAAAATTCAAAAACCACAGAAAGGAAAGGACTTATATTTTTTAAATTATAGAAATAATAGTATTTTGCACTGAGAAATCATTGGGTTCAAAGAGAAAGGAGAAATAAACAATAAGGCTTCACTTAAAAAGCTGTACATTTGTGGAGGGAGGGTGGGGTGGAAAGGGGAAACCGATGAGAAGGATCTGCATATAACCTCCTCCCTGAAGGATGGACAACAGAAAAAATAGGTGAAGGGAGACGTCGGACAGTGTAAGATATAACAAAATAATAATAATTTATAAATTATCAAGGGTTCATGAGGGAGGGAGGGTGGGGGAAGGATGGAAAAAAAACGGGGAGCTGATACCAAGGGCTCAAGTAGAAAGCAAATGTTTGGAGAATGATGATGAAACAAAGGTACAAATGTGCTTGACACAATGGATGGATGTATGGAGTGTGATGAGTTGTATGAAATCCAATAAAATGACTTTTAAAAAGCACTGTACGTTCCTAAGAAGTTCAAAGTAAACCTGTAAAATGACCCCGAAACACACAAGAATTCATTTGACATATAATTCTGGCAGCACCTACATGACCACTGTTGACTATGGTTCTCATCAGACACCTTTTCAAGTGTCCTGTTTTTTAGGGAGGAAACACAATAAAGACATTTGTGATGGCTGTGACATTATTCTGTAGCAGCTGGCTCCCCCTGCGGGGGTCCCAGGCCAGTCAGAGAGGAAGGACAACTGTATGCAGCCCCACCAGAAACACAGTCACACTACTGGGTTTAGATGACCGCTTTTTGGTTCTTTGCATAAACAAGTCAGCGTCTTGACACACATCCAGTTAACACCAGCTGACAGCGCAACACACAGACCTGCATCATATTCTGCAGAGCAACACTTACCGTATATACACTTGTGTCTAAGCCGAGTTTTTCAGCACATTCTAATACTGCTTTTGTGGTAAAATTAGGTGCCTCAGCTGATATTCGGGTGGGCTTATCCTGGAGTATGTACGGTATGTGCTCTGCGCGCACACAGTTATAAACACACACACACACACACACACCCGCTCACTGCCATGGAGTCGATGCCCACTCCCAGACACAGCAGGACAGGGTGGAACTGCCCTGTGAGTTCCCAAGACTGTAACTGCTTACAGGAATAGGCAGCCCTCTCCTCTTTGCACAGAGCAACTGGTAGTTTTGAACTGCTGACCTTGAGGCTCGCAGCCCAGTGCTGGTTGAGCCACTACACCACCAGGGCTCCTATAAGCCCAGAGGAAAATCCCATCATCTTTTAATTCCACCTCTCCTTGAACCTTCTGATACCCGCCTTTGTTAAAAACAAGTGAATGAGACTCACAACAACACTCTAGGACAGGGTAAAACTGCCCCTGTGCATTTCCAAGGCTGAGACTTTACACAGCAGTAGATGCTCTTTCTCCCGGAGAACAGCTGGTGGTTTTGAAATGCTGACCTTGTGGGTGGCAGCCCAATGTGTAACCGCCATGCCACCAATGGTCCTGGCACCCCCTTGTAGGCACAAAAAAAATAAAAAGGGAAACCCAACTGTTTTAACCCTAGGGGTGACTCCTAGGGACACATGCCTGGCAGGAGATTGGGGCACCTACAAATCTTAGTGGGTCTCCACTCCGCTGCCTCTCACGTGGGCGATGCAGCCCTGGTGGTACAGTCACTAAGCACTCTGGTTGAACCCACCAGTGGTCTAACTTCTGGGGAAGATGAGGCAGCCTGCTTCCTTACAGATGAAGGACCTTGGACCCCCAGGGGCAGTTCCACTCGATCCTCCAGGGTCGCAGTCGGGATGGGTTCTCACATTAGCACAAGCTCAATTTGCTGAGCAGGCTCCTCATGTTCCAAGATACTATGGCTCTAACACGGCCCCTAACCCAGTCAGCCATTCCACTTAGGATGCGAGGGTAATTATAAATATTTGAACTTCACATGCATGTCTGCTGTTAGGTGACATTGGGCGATTTTCCTAGGAGGTGGAGGCCGGAATTGGAAAGCAGAGAGGTGAGAGTGCTCCAATGGGCCTGCCTGGGCAGCCGCGGGGAACACAGGGAGGGGTGGGGGAGCAGCCTCTCAGGATCTCCAGCAGGCCCAGTCACAGGATCACAGGTGTTTGCAAATGATGGAAGGTCTATGGCAGCCCTGGGCTTAGCGAGTCTCTTGGTGCTGTTTTCCCCATAGTGTGCACTCACTTTGTGTCTCTGGGTCCCATTTTGATTGTTTGCATGGTATTTTCATCCTTTTCATCATGTCACTAACACACACTTCATAGAATACAGCGCTGTGCAAACAACTTCTCTAAGCACTGGAGAACCAAAGTACCAGGGTGACTTGATTTATTGTGCTATCTGCTTTGTTTCGGTGGTCTGTACTGAATCCAGGAGCAAGGTGAGCAGCCGCCCTGCAGGAGCAAGGTGAGGCTGTAAAGATGTAGCCCCAGAAACCCAAACGGGCAGTCAGAACGGACCCAACGGCAGTGAGGTTAGTACCAAATCCGTCTCTGAGGAATACCACAATAAGGACTCACAAGAGCCCCTCTGACTCAAAATAAACCCAAGAGCAACTGGTTTGGTTTTTGTTTTTATGGAAAATAATAATAACGTAAGGCAGCATCACCATCTTTTTTCTAAATTCCCAGAGACAGGGCCGACAAATGAAAGCTGCCTCTCAGACTTGGCGAGAGGTCAGAGAAAAAGGGCTCTGAACCGAAGAGAAAGCTAAGACGTCAAGCACGTCCCAGTTTCAAGTGACACCATGTCCTCATGCACAAAGACTTTCAAAATTCCTTTCAGGCTTAATTATTACTTAAACTGATAAACACGATTTTGAGACAACAGTGTTAAGACTGTCTTTAGTAGAAAATGTCTTCAAGGAATCAGCTTTGGAAATGGTTAAAAAAAAAAAAGAGGACTATTTCATAAAATGGGCTCAATACAGCATTTACTTAACACATCTAATTCACCGAGCAGACCTGGTGGATCAAACAGCAAGGAAACCGTAGGAACGACGCTGCACCCCATCCCCCTCCTCCCTATAGTCTTTCAGCACACTGTAATCGGCATTCATTTGTACAGTGCTGCACTCTCCGTTGGGAGCCCAGGCGGCACAATGAAAATAAGTGTTTGGCGGCAAACCGAAAGGTTGGCAGTTCAATCCCACCCACTAGCTCCACACGGGAAAGATCCAGAGATCTGCTCCTGTAGAGATTAGTTTTGGAAACTCTTAGGGCCCATTCTACTGTCACATTGGGTTCGCTAGGAGTCTAAATCGACTTGGCAACACATGACCATCAACAACAAATGATCTCTGGGCCTGTGAGCTCCTTAGCAAAAGTGGCAGGCCTGGCACACAGATGCGGACCCAAAGACTGGCTGAACTCCACTGGCAAGGTATAAACGTGCTCCTTTGTAGCCATTCAAGCGGCATTATTCTCTAAGCAGCAATCACCAACACAGTGGACACAGTGACCTCTAGTGGTAGAAACCATGCTGTAGTTAGTGAGGTTCAAGAGAAGGAGCCACTACCTTGTCCTGCAGCACTTGGTCACATTTTGATTTAAATTAGGAAGTCACATTTCCAGGAGAAAATTTCTTAATGGAAATTTATTTACTTTCTTTAATTTACCAAAATCTAGTCTCTTCCTGGAAGAATGGGAGTGAGGGTAGGGATAAGAAAACCGAGGGGAGGGGGGGAAACCCCAAATGTTAATTTATTATTTATGCTCTGAGGGAGAAAAATGTGGCAGGCTGCTTCCATAAAAGATTGACCGGTCATGGGGGAGAGGGGGCGGGGAGGGAGGGGAAAAATGAGGAGCTGATACCAAGGCCTCAAGTAGAGAGCAAATGTTTTGAGAATGATGATGGCAACAAATGTACAAATGTGCTTGACACAATGGATGGATGGATGGATTGTAATGAGTTGTATGAGTCCCCAATAAAATGATTAAAAAAAAATAGTTTTACAGGTTTGGAAACCCTGTGAAGCATTCTTCTCTGTCCCAGCTAGGTCACTGAAAGTCTGAATCTGCTCGGCAGCAATAGGTCGGTGATTCACTCCGATTAGCGTCTGCTCGCATAAAGACTTACAACCTTGGCAACCCACAGAGGCAGTTCGCTCTGCCCTACAAGAGTCTGAATCGACTTGGTGGCCACAAGTTGGCCTTGGCTCACTTGTGTTATGAACACCCTTCCTTCATCCACGCGGTAGGTGCTGAGTGTTTAAGCATCAGTATCTATGTTTTCAGGAGAGGCAGAGTCACACACTCAAGCTTCACTTCGTAGGAAAGAAACAAACACATGAGTACATCACTGATCCAAAAGCAGACTCACTGCTATCAGGGCAGCTGAGATTCTTTCTGGATTGGACTGTCCCCTCTCCCTCCGGCAGGGCATCTGGTGGGTTCAAACTACGGAAACACCAGGGCTCCTTTGGAGGGTGGTGTGATGACATCTTTTGAAAGGTGTCAGAACAACTCAAACACGATCTTGATAAGGATAAAATTCCATTCAGGAGCCCTGGTGGCATACTGGTCACAAGCTGCCTACCAACTACAAGGTCAGCTCAGCCGTTTGAAACCGCCAGCTCCTCCGTGGGAGAAAGATGAGGCTTCTACCCAATAAAGACCGATAACCTCTGACACCCACAGGGGCTCCTACAGGGTCGATAGGAGCGGCAGTGGGTTTGGTGTAATTCCCTTAGTTTGCTACAGTAGTACCTTAGAAAATTCAGTTTACAAATACATATCTACTTAACCACTTAAACTAATTTTCTATATTTACCAGTAAGAACCAACTCATCGTGAAGGTAATTTCTTTCTTGCTTGAGGCGAATGATCTCTTCTCGCTGGTCATTATTTTCTGTTGTCTTTTCATTCAGCTCCTCTTCACAAACAGAAGGGGGGAAAGTCCTCAAATAAATGCTGGTTCCTTGAAGACTATATGCAACAGGTGATCCTCCTGTCCTCAGCCCCACCCCTAGTCCCTTCAATGGAATGGAAGTTCTGTTGGACTGACAGTTAAGGTAGGTCCCACTGAGTCCAAGCCTGAGTGCTTTCACCTGATTTTCCCACCAGTGCCCATGATCAACAGCAGGCTACAAACAACTCTCTGCTTACATTTCCTACCCCGAGCCTGCCACTGGCTCACCATGCCCTTTAGGGTGGGCTAAAATGCCCTGGCACGGGCTATGAGGCCTTCTGTGACCAGAACCCGCCTACTATCTCCTTTTTCTCTCCTGCCACTCCTCAAGCACACATCAGCCCCAACTCAAAACTGGACGGCTTATTCACCTGCTGCTTGCTCCCTCTGCCTGGTGGGTTCTTGGTCACGGCTCATTCTTCCCACCACTTGAATCCTGGTTCAAACATGAACTTGAGATGACTTCGTAGTCCACTCAGCTCAATGAGTCCATCTTCCCCTCTCTGTTCCTCTACCCATGACTCTCCCACCCATTACTCTTTGTCTTTTCAATGTTTGGGTGGAATATGGTGATTATCAAAGACTTAAAAGGCATAAATAAGGATACAGCAGTCATATTTTGACTGGACTAAGGAACCTGGTGGCGTAGTGGGTTCCAGGCTGGGCTGCTAACTTCAAGGTCAGTAGTTTGAAACCACAACTGATCCTCAGGACAGAGGAGGACAGTTTAACTCTGTCCTTTAGGGTCGCTATAGGGTCATTATGAGTTGAAAATGGCTCAATGGCAGTCAGTATCCATAAGCATTCAACTAAGTAATTACTGGGTGTCTATAAGGTACCCCAATTTAACTGAGGGTGACCTGCTAGAGACAGTCAAAGTCTTTCCTTGCTGAAAAGGGGGTCAGAGTGCAATGGGGATTCTATCTGAAGTTCCACAGGGACACAGGCCAGGTCTATGAAACAGGTCAGGGTGCCAGGAGAGCACAGCTTTCAAGTGCTGAGTTTTTTCAATTTTGAAAGTTCACAATTTCAGGATCTTTTCATTGAAACACATTGCTATTTCCTTCAGGCAAACACAGGGGTCCTCTGGGCTTGAAGACAACCAGTAAGAACCACTCCCCCCTCACTGTGGGGGCTGTCATGGCCCCAGGTGCAGTCAGCTCCGAGTGGGGAATCCACTTCTAGTCCACTGCGGTGGCCACCACTTTGATTGCAGACAGACTGATTTTCTGGGGGCAGGCATGAGACTAAAGAAACCACCTCCTGGTCTCCCAGTTAATTCTGCACCCTTAGGGCGGGGGGCAGAGGCCCTGAGTCCCAGGGTGAGGGTGCAGCACAGACCCCACTGTCCCTAGTCTGCTGTCACTATGGACTTTATGAGTTCCACTACTTGGAAGTGAATCACAGAAGAGCAGGAGGACAGAAACAGAAATGTTCCAAAAAAGAACACATTTTGGGCACTGTGCTATTAGTGGCCATTCCTCCCTGGTGGTCTGCTGGTTAAGCAGTTGCTGTCAACTGGAAGGTTGGCAGTTTGAACCCATCTAGACACTCTGCATGAGAAACGCCTGGCAATGTGATCCTAGCCAAGAAAAGCCGCCAGGCCATTCATCTCTGTCACACAAGGTCACTCAGTTGGAACTGACCTGACAGTGTCCACATGTGGCGGTAGCCCTGCATGTGACGCCACTCTCCCCATAAAAGGGCAGAGCGCATAGCCCAACCGCTGGGCTTTGGGTTCAGCCACATGGCTTGCTTTTACCAACAGAATGGGCCAGAAGTGATCGAATCCTAGTTAGTGTTTACACTCCTGTCCTTCCCATGGGCAGCAGTGCCCAAGTGAGCTTACTGTTGAAGAGAAAGGTGAATGGCTCACTCCCTTTTGAGTTCCAGACGCATGAGCGTCACAGACGCATGGGCTCTATGCCACTGAGGCACGGGTTGTTTGTCACACAGCAACAGCAGTAGCTAACCAATGTTGTTATTGGGGGCTTTCAAGTCAGTTCCAATGCACAGCACTCCTATGCAAAGCAAACTGAAACACTGCCCGGTCTAATGTCATCCTTACAAGTATTCTGACAGTTGAACCGATTATTGTAGCCATTGTGTCAATCCATCTCTTTCAAAGTCTTCCTCTGTTTTGCTAGGTTAAACTAAGACTTTCAAAAACGCAGAATTTATTATGCAGCTTTCCCTAACTCTATAGTTACACATCTGATTGTAACGCAAAAGTTGCAGCGTAATTCTACAGAGATAAAATGAGCATTCTATGTTAGAACATGCTATGGATTGAATGAAATCTCCCAAAAATGTGTTTTGTAAATCTAAATTCCTATACCTGTGCTTAAAATGCCATAGGAGGGTGTGTTTTCTAGGTTATGGCAAGGAGGGTGTGTGACTGTGTCCTACACACTCTTGAGCTAGAACAGCAAATTAAGCAAGCAAGCAGACAAGGGGGCAGATAGATGCTATGCCACATGAAGACACCAAGGGACAGAAGCTGAGAGGAGAGAAAGACCCTCCTCCAGAGCTGACAGGCAGACTCCCCTGGAGCCTCCGAACTGCAAGAGTATGGGTTTCCATTTGTTAAAGCTGCCCATTTGTATTTCTACCAAAAACCCATACAAACTCATTGCCACTGAGTTGATGCCAACTCATAGCAAGCCTATAGGACAGGGTACACCTGCTCCTGTGGGGTTTCCGAGACTGTCACTCTTATAGGAGTAGAAAGCCCTGCCTTTCACCCATGGAGCAGCTGGTGGTTTTGAACTGCTGACCTTGTATTTAGCAGCCCAATGTGCCACTGAGGCTCCTATTTCTACTACAGTGGCATAGGTAAGGCAAGGCCTATGGCCAGCAACAGTCCTCCTCTCAATCGTAACAATCGAAAATCTCAACAAACTCAGTCATCAAGTCAGAAGATTAGGTGAACCTAAATGAAGAAATATATTTCCAAGATGAAAGGCTTAAGGGGAAGTCTTTTCCTTACCTTTCAGCTTATTAATTTCAATCTTAAGTGTTTTTAATTTCTGCTTGCAATCTTGCTTTTCCTTCATTATGCTGGCCTCCACCACCTTGGCATCCCGAAGCGCATGCTCCAGAACTTTAAACTTGCTCGAACAGTCTGAAATGTGGTTCACTGCCTCGATGATATCTTTATCCTAGTAGAGAAATGACATTTAAAATTTCAACTCATCAGTAAGAAAATAAATCAATTAAAAAAACCATGGTGGACGATACAACCATGCTGTGCTGTATGAGAAGAACCAAACAGGTCAAAAAAATGATGAGGACCAAAAGATTGAGCAGGATGGCATCAAAGAAGATAAAGCTCACAAGGCTGCCACCAAAATACAAGCCAGCTTCCGTGGACACAATAAGGAAAAAGCTCAAACGGGAGAAGGAGGAGGATGGCCAAGCTGCCGAGGCTGACATGAACAAGAAGGAAGAAGTCCCTGTGGCTGATGGGGTGGAGAAGAACAAGGGAGATGGTCCTACCACCGTTGACGGAGCCCCAACCACTAGCCCCTAGTCCAAGGAGACCAGGAAAGCCGGAGAAGCTCCTTCTGAGGGGGAGGGCACCCCTGATGCTGCCACTGAGTAGGCAGTCCCTCAGGCTACTGGCCCCTCAGAGGAGAAGGCTGGCTCTGCGGAGACAGAAAGTGCCACTAAAGCTTCCACTGATAACTTGCCGTCCTCCAAGGCTGATGATGCCACAGCTAAGGAGGAGCCTAAACAAGCTGCCTGCTGCCGTCACTGCTGCTGCTGCTGCCACCACCCCTGCTGCTGAGGACGCTGCTGCCAAGGTAACAGCCCAGCCTCTGATGGAGACTGCGCAGAGCAGTCAAGCGGAAGAGAAGCTGTAGATGAAACCAAACCTAAGGAGAGTGCCCGACCGGAGGAGGGTAAAGGAGAAGACCGTGAGGCGGACCAAGAACATGCCTGAACTTTAAGGAATGGCTTTCCATGTCCCCACCCTGCCCTCTCCTGACCCCCGTTTCTCCCACCCTCCAACTCCACTCTAAAGTTCCCCTCCTGATCCTACTCATGTCTATGTGTCTGTCCTCCCCTAGCCACAAACCCTCTTTTCTTTCTGTGTGGCAAAATTAAAAAAAAAAAGCAGGAAAGATCCCAAGTCAAACTGTGCCTTAAGCATTTTTGTTTTTGGTGTTGTTATGGCGAGTTGTTGGTAATGATGATTCAATCATTTGGGGAAATTCTTGCACTCTATCCAAGTGTTTTGATCTGGTGCGTGTGACCCTGTGGGAGTCCACTTTTCCTCTCTCTCTCTGCTACAAGTGTGTGTGCAATGTCCCGTTCATCCGAGGAGTCCAAAAGATCAAGTGAATTCAAAACCATGTTTCTTTTCTCCTTTTCAATGTGATGGAATGAACTAAAAGGAAAAAAAAAATTAAAATAACCCAGATTGTTTTAAAAGATAAATAAATAAAGCAAATGTGCCAATTTACATTTAAAAAAAAACCCAAACCATCGTGGTGTACCAGGCTCAGTTTTAAGTGCTTTTCATCCATTAACTTATTTAATCTTCCTAATAGGAGGTACTGTTATTATAATTTTCCTAGGGCAAGTCTGCTATCAAAGACTTCTTTAAAGTGGTCAAAAGGAAAGAAGTCACTCTGAAGACTTGCCTCAGACGTATGTGAAAAGTAAACGACGAGCAAGGCAGACCTGAGAGGTGAGGCCAAGACAGCCAGAACAACAAACCAGTCTGTCTTGGAAGAAGTATGCCAGAATCTCCTTAGAAATGAGACTCTCTCACGTGTTTTGAACATGGTATCAGGAGAGACCAGTCCCAAGAGAGGGACGCCATGCTTGGTAAAGTGGAGGGTCGGAAGGTCGGTGAAAAAGAGGAAGTTACCATCAACGAGATGGATTGACACAATGGCTCCAACAATAGGCTCAAACAAAACAATTGTGAGGATGGTGCAGTACCGGACAGCGTTTCCTTCTGTTGTACATCGGACCACTATCAATCAGAAGCAACTTGCTAGACCCAAACAATAAATTATAATCGCCATAAAGCAGATGAGTAAACACGCATAAAAAGGTTACGCAGTTTGCCCAACATTACAGAACATTTAAGTAACTGAATTAGGACTTGAATCTAGCCCACTGCACTACCACCCCACCACCCCACCACCCCAAGCCTTGGAATCCCACAGCTGCAGCTTGGCTCTGTCCTACAGGGTCACCCTGAGTTGGAACGGACTCAATGGCCGTGAGTTTGGCTTTGTGAGATGAAAAGAATGTCACTGCATTAAAGACAGGGCAAAAGCCACAGAGATGTGGACGTGTGTCACATTAGTGACTGCACTAGTGGCTTGTTGTTAACAGTTTCTGCTCCGTTTTTTCAGGATAAATTCCTTGGGAAAAGTCAAGTTCATCCAGCATGCCAGGTCATGGAATGGTCCTGGGAGTCTGCAGGCCAGGGGGGAATCTGTGACCCTCTGAATGCCTGGGGGGTGTTATTTTCAACTTGTTTCCCTCATTTCCGAGAACAACTTATACAATCAGTAATTAAACAACTGAAAGACATTAACCCCAACTCCCTGCCAGAGTTGATTCTGACTCATACAGACACTACCGGGGAGAACAGACTGTTCCTTAGGGGATCTGAGGCTGTGATCCTGTAAGGGAACAGAAAGCCTTCTCTTTCTCCTTTGCAGCAGCTGGTGGTTTGAACAGCCGACCTTGTGGTTAGCAGCCCAACACCTAACTGTGCCACCCAGATCCTTGAACTAAATTAGACGACAATAAATGGGGAAATATTTCCTATTTGAAGACTGAAAAACTGGATATTGTTAAGATGTTAACTACCCAAAGTGATCTGTAGATTTAATACCATCCCGGTCAATATTCCAACAGCCTTCGTTATAGAAATCCTCAACTTCCTATGGCAAGAGCCCCAGACTAGCTAATACACTGTTGAAAACGAAGAATAAAAGATGAGGATTTTAAAAGATATCCCACAGTCATCCAAACAGCCTGGTACTGGCACACTAAGAGTCACAACAAATGAGAACACTGACAGGGCTGCTTTTCTGGGAGTTAAATAAGATGATGAACGTGAATATGCTTTGTAAGTACCATGTGGCCTGGCTAGCGGAGGTAGTGGCATTTTAAATTACCTTTAGCTTTATCATTGTGGTGAGTGCTTGTTCTCGCGCTTGTAACTGTCCTACCTGGGCAGAAAGGTCCACTAACGTGCTGCTGAGATTTTGGTTTCTACCCTACAAGAGAACACAAAATCAGTACTGAGACATCCTAAGCTTTCATTGCCATCACCAGCCATAAACTGTGCTCATTTCGCTTTTTATTAAGTTGATTTATTAAAGAAAACAAACTTTAGTAACAAAGTAGGCTAAGCCAGCAATCATTAAAAATATATACAAGTATCTGTCCACTAACTCTAGTATCCTCTAAATAATGGCATCACTCCGAGAAATTAAATTAGTTCCACTTGGGTGCCTGTTTCCTAAAGTTTAATATAATTTTAGGTTGGGAAGAAAGGAGAGTAAGAATGAATGGGAACTGCATTAGTAAGCAATTCCTTTCTTGGAAATAAGTTGGTATGAGTGAGTGAGTGTTTACACTGAAAGACGTGCATATGAAGGTATTCCCATTGATGACTGTTCTTAAAAGACAGAACTGTCTGATATAATTATTGTGGACACAATATGCTTACTGGCTGGAAAAGAATCAGCAATCAAATCAATGTGAAGGGGTGTGGAGGTAGTGGAGACCCAAAACCCACCTGTCAGATAATTTGACAGTCGCTCCTCTCAGAAGGGCCACAGGAAAGGGATGATAAAGCCAGGGTGTGATATGATATAGCAATGAAAAGCCACAAACTATATTCTAGTTCTTAAATAGTTCCTCCCATTACTATTATGATTTTTATCCATTTTACCTCATTTATCATGTTAGAATTGCCTATGTACACTTGCGTATTTAAGATCATTTGGTACATGAAAGAGAAGATAAAGAGCCCTTCAGAAACAGTAACAGGAATAATGGTTCCCTGAGGGTATGGGAAGAGAGCAGGGAAAGGAGAGAATAGGGAACAGATAGCACTAATGACTGTATGACCCCACTTGAATTATATGTGAACGGATATATTGAATTGTGCAAGACATGGAAAAACAAACAAACTATTATAGGGAAAAAAACCCAATAAGGGTTCCTGGGGGATAAGGTGAGAGAGGGAGGAGATAAAGGGAAGCTGATATCAAGGAGTTCAAGAAGAAAGAAAATGGTTTGAAACTGATTGTGGTAGCAATTGTACATTACTGCTTGATATAATCTAAATAAGGAATGCTGGAATCCAGGACAGATGATCCCTTCAGGACCAGTGCCGAGAGTGGAGATAACTGGCAGGGTGGAGGGAGGGTGGGATGGAAAGGGGGAACCGATTACAAGGATCTACATATAACCTCCTCCCTGGGGGACGGACAACAGAAAAATGGGTGAAGGGAGATGAGTTAGCTAATTGTGCCAGCCTGGCCCATAATCACATGTGGGGCTAATTGAAAGGCAGAGGGATAAATGGGTGGTGAGCCTCGCCTTTCTAGTTCTCTGGTCTCTTGTTTTGTGATGGTTGCACCGGGTGCAGCTGCCTTAGCAGTTCCCTGCTTCAGCTTCCAAGATTGACTTCCTACAAGACATCCCCAAGGAGAAGCTACATGGACCTATCCCGATGCAGCCCTGGGTGCTGGAGCAGCCGTGTGGAGACCCCTGCTAGTGCTGAGATGCTTGTTCGTTCACTGACTCAGCTTTCCTCCTGCAGTCGGCATTATTGCCTCTGTTTTGTGAGGTGGAGGACTTTGCGGACTGGTGTTGGGTATGGGTTAATGTTGGACTTGTGGGCTTGGGCCGCACTGGGTTGGGATGTTTTCGTGATGCACCTTTTCTTTACATAAAACTCTCTCTTATCCATGAGTTGTTGTGCATTTGTTTCTCCAAAGTACCCAGACTAATACAGGAGACATTGGACAGTGTAAGATATGACAAAATAATTTTAAATGAACAAGAGTTCATGAGGGAGGGGGTAAAATGAGGAGCTGATGCCAAGGGATTAAGTGGAGAGCAAATGTTTTGAGAATGATGAGGGCAACAAATGTACAAAGGTGCTTTACACAATTGATGTATGTATGGATTGTGATAAGAGTTGTATGAACCCCCAATAAAATGATTTAAAAAAACAAAAGAGTTAAAAACAAAAACAAAAAACTAAAATAAGGAATGCTATGATATCTGTTAAGAATTCCCAATAAAATAATTGATTAAAAAAATCGACACTTTTAAATTGGTATCTCCCTTGTTTTAATTCAACACTGATACTAAGGAAAAAGACATAAAAATCTGCATTGTTATTACGAATTACTAACACTCTGTATCATGATCCACAATGACTATCATTATGGTCACAGAGAATACGAAAGATATCCATTCTCATAAAATATGGGTCTCTCATGAAACGTGACCTCAACTATCTGAGGGCTGGTCAGTTTGAACAAGAACATTTGTCAGTCCTTCAGATTCTATTCCCAGTATGCCACTAATGAGGCATAGATAGTTATCACATTAGCAAGACAAGGCACACAGTGCACAGTGCATGATTTGAAGCTACGGACACTTGGTGACACTGGTCCTGATCTCCAAGGCAGGACCGCACAGCGCACTTACCCCACCAGCACATGGACACAAGACTAGCACACGGGCATGTGGATGGACATGTGCATACACAGACAAGCGTGTACCATGGAAACCTTTCATTGACATCTAATAGCTCAACGACTGACACACATGCATCATTAGGACAAGGAAAGCTTCCAGGAACAAGGCCCACCTCGAGGTCTTCTGAGAGGAGAGACGCATGGGTTGCCCTCTGAGCCATCTCCTGCAGTTGTTGCTGAGTCTTCTGAAGAGTCACCTGGCAATCATTTTGATTTGTCTCCAAGCTTTTCACTTTCTTTGTGAGGGACCTGATGATTTCACTTCTTTTATGCAGTTCACCTGAGGGGAATGCCATCGACAACTTATTTATAGGCTACTCTGCAGCTGACCAGGCATTCTTTTCAAAATTGGTGGTTAAAAGGTGAAAATGTGTTAATGAGCTTTTCAAAGGGCAATTCATTAAAACAATTTTTTTTCCATTGTGAAATGCGCATTAAAAAAACCCAGGAAAGTCACAAAATGTGTGTGCAGAGTTCAAAAGGGAACACGCGTGTTCTTCGTGACGCTGTCAGCAGCCTGGATGTCCCCTCTACATCCCTTCTTGAACACAGGAAGCTGGCTTCAAGCTCTACTTCCTTTCTCTGCTTCTTGGGATGCTTTGGCCCCATCAGCGGCACAGTGGTTATGCAGTGGGTCGAGACCTGAATGGTCGGCTGTTTGCAGCCACTGTCTCTCTGAGGAAGAAACAGTAGGTTTTCTACACATGCAAACAGTCTCAGAAACTCAAAGGGGGTAGTTCTATCCTGTCCTATTGTGAAGTGATGAATCGGCATGGACTTGCTGGCAGTGTTTTTGAGTTTGACCATACTTTTTAGATACACAGCTTTGTGAACCATCATAGAGATCTACTCTGTGAATTCTCCAATCTGCTTTTTGCACTTAAGATGACAAGACACTAAGATTCGTCTACATTGTTGCATGTTCATGTAGTTATACTACATACTGTATATACTCGAATATAAACCAACCAGAGTATCTATCAGCCAAGGCACCTAATTTTACCACAAAAAACTGCATTAAAAATGTGCTGAAAAACTCAGCTTATACACGAGTATATACGGTACTAGGGGGCTTCAAAATCTTGTGGAAAACAGAATCAAAAGACCGTGGGATTTCCCCACAAATTTTTAGAAGCCCTCTAATATAGTTATATTTAATCCAACAGTATCCAATTACATGATTACCAGAGTTTACGTACCATTCTAATACTGATGGTCATTTGGGTGGTTTCCACTTGGTGTCTAGTTTGGACGCTGCAGCTCTGAATAGCCCTGGGCATGAACCTCGGTGTGCCTCTACAAGTTCGAGAGCCGTGCTACTCAAAACTGGTTTTAATGACCATTTCTTTCATTACTAATAGAAAAGCCTTGATGCCAGGGTGCTTAAAGTGCTCAGCTTCGATGAGCCAAAAGGTCAGCAGTTAGAACCCACCCACTCCTTAGGAGACAGATGTGGCCGTCTACTCCGGAAACCCTAGGGAGCACTTCCACTCTGTGCTATAGGGTCCCTATGAGTCGGAGTGGACTCAGTGGCAGTGAGGTTTTAATGACTAATAAGAATGGGAATCTGTAAATTATCAAGGGTTCGTGAGGGAGGGGAGAGTGGGGAGGGAGGGGAAAAATGAGGAGATGATGCCAAGGGCTTACTGGAGAGCAAATGTTTTGAGAATGATGAGGGCAATGAATGTACAAATGTGCTTTACACAATGGATGTATGTATGGATTGTGATAAGAGTTGTATGAGTGCCTAATAAAACGATTTAAAAAAAAAAAGAATGAGAATCTATCGGCCCTCTTGGCACCTAAGTTCTTTGCCCTACTTTAATTCACATTTCTCAGCTGGATTGTGGGTGTTCACCAGTCTTTTAGACCAACACTCCTGGGCAGCAGAGGTATGTCCTCAACGCCTCCTGGGAGCCCTAGAAACATGTCAGCATGTACCCAAGGGGCTGCGAATGCATCTCTGACCTTCTAATTTGCTGCAACGCTCTTCCAAAGTCAGCACTTTCTGCCGGTCCTCCTCCCATGAGAGAAGTTGCCTCTGATGTACTGTGACCATCTCATTGAGCTCTTTATCTCGATCTTTTAATTCTCCAATTAGCAGCTGCAGTTCTTTCCGCTGTTTCTCAATAGTGGAAATCTCAGCTTCTGACCCGATGTTCTAAAAACAGAAAGTAAAAAAAATAAAATAAAATAAAAAAGAAATAAAAACAGAAAGTAATTTCACATCAAAAGAAAACTCATTGACCACACAGGCCAGTCAACACAGGTTTTCCAAATACTTGTATCTTCGGGTGCTAATTCTCAGTAGTATGGTAAATCAATGACATTTCATTCACTGTTAATAATGTAGCATTGAAATTATGAATGTTTAAACAAGTTCAAACCTACTGTACCTGTAACTTTTGGTCCCCATCAACACACACACACACACACACACACACACACACACACACCACTCTTAAAATGTGACAAATCTCCACTGGCCAACCATCAATAGACTGGGTTCTTCATTTTATTTTTTTTACTATCAACTGTCTCCTTGTACCAATCTACAGTATTATTCTCCACCTTATCCCACCAATTTTGCAGTAATTAAGTGAAATAAAACAAAATAATTACTCTGATATATTCTCGTTAAAGAATAGGAATTTTATTCTACAAAGAAGAGAAATGGTGCGAGTATAGACATCAATACATAAAGGTTTGGCAAAAGGTTATTTGTAAATAGGTATTTTGTTGCAAATATAACCAGGAATGTGGTAGGACCTAATCCAGGCAACCCACTGACATTGAGCTGATTCTGAAACAGCACCTGGAGGGTATCTGCGGCTATATACATAGATCTTTCCAAGAGCAGATAGTAGCGTGTTCCCTGGAATGGCTGGTGAGTTTGCAACTAAGACCTTGTGATTAGCAGCCAATGATTACCTGACAATGCCTCCAGGGATCCTTGTGGTGGAGCTCACAAGCAGTAAAGTTCTGAAAACTTCCTTGCTGTAACCATACACTTTCAGGAGCTGAGTCGCTGGGCAGGCCTGAGGGCTCAGACCATAGACTTGGGGGGCATCATGTTCAAATAGCATTAACAGTCAACAATGACAATGTTCTAAATCCTACTTTGGCGCAGTTACTGTGATCTTAAAAATTCATGAGCAACCACCTAATTTTTAACTAATGCTGTCTCCCCACTCAGATGAAAAAAGTGATGAAAATTGAAGACATACAGAAACAATCCAATGGGCTTTATAATAACCTCACTACTAGCAGTCTCATGATCTTGAGACCAGTAGAACTAGATGGTACCCACTACCACTATCAACTGCTCTGAAGGGTGTAACATTAGAAGGTCCTAAATAGAGCGGGTCCTGATGGTGTTGGTAAGTAGTAAACTTTGCACTGTTACTTGCAAGGTCAGTGGATTGAACCCACCAGCTATTTTTCTAAAATATGAGCAGAAAGATGAGGTTATCTGCTCCTGTGAAGATTTATAAAGCCTCAAAACCCTATATAGGATCCACATTAGTAAGAATTGAGTCGATGGCAGTGGGTTCGATTTTTTGGAAGAGAGTAGGAAAAAAAGGTGTAATAAACTCAAAATCCTAAATAAGACCAGGCTAGCTGGTTGGATACAGATCGGCAAACCCCTTAATCACCCTCAGAATTGGACTCATCTCCATGGCTTAACTTTCAGCCAACAATAAGCAGGTTTGTAACACTAGGTAGGAATGTACCTCTTAGAATCATCAATCATTTGAGATCAAAAGGACAAAGTTCTGAAGGGTTAGGAAGGAGGAATGGAAACAGAAAGCAGGGAGGAAGTGGGATAAATGATGCTACATCAACGGATGAAACGAAACTGACGATCTGGGCAACTCTCCACTCAATTCACAATAAAAAGCTAAATAAACAAATAAAAACTAAAAAGAATTAAGAGCAGGCTCTGAGACTGGACGGAATGAGAAAATTAAAGCCTATAGTGTTAAATATTTTTACAACTATAACGTATGTAGTATACGCTCAAGCTACCAAGTGCGATTTAAAATTGTAATTGATCCAAACTCAACATTCATAATTTAAAACAAGCTTTGAAAGGAAAAAACTCAAGCATATACAAAAGACAACGGACTTGTACAACAAACTCCCACATACTCATTGCCTAGCTCCTCACCACTGTTTTCCATCTTCATTGTTGATAATATACATTTCACCCTTACTCATCAGCATGCATGTCTAAAATGAACAATCTTACACAACCATTTTCTGACCTAAAAAATCTATCTGCATTAATTCCTTATCAGCATAAACCTGACTAAAACCAAATCCACTGCCATCAAGTCGACTCCTACCCTACAGCATATACGATATACTTTTTAAAGGGACCTGGTGGCATGGCTAAAGCACTCACCTGTTAACCAAAAGGTGAACAGCTCCGCAGGAGAAAAGACAAGGCAGTCTGTGTCCATAAAGGTGTATAGAATCGTCAACCCAAAACCCTGTGCCGAGTTCTACTCTGTCCCACAGGGTCACTATGTGTTTCATCAACTTGAGGGCAGCGGGTTTGGTTTGTAGTGTAATGTAAAGGTCTAGTGCAGGGACTCAGCGGTATCTCAGCCATTAGGTACAATGGACTGGATGCAGTGGGCTGGGTGTGTGATTTCAGTACAGGGAAGTTAGTCTGACCTGAGAGTGAATCCTGAATCAGGCACTACTTAACTCTAACTCTGAGGGCTTCCTCACTGGTCAGGTGATAGTCACAGTATTTTTCCTTCCTGGGGTTACTGGGTGGGGCGAGCAAGATAATCTGCAGTGGTTCTCAACCTTCCCAATGCTGGACCCTTTAATACAGTTCCTCAGGTTGTGGTGAAACCTCCCCCCCCAACCGTAAAATTATTTTTGTTGCTCCTTCATAACTGTAATTTTGCTACTGTGATGAATCGGGTGACCCCTGTGAAAGGGTTTTCGATGCACAGGTTGAGAACCGCCACTGTAGAGTATTTAAAGACTGCCTTCCAGTCAATTCTAACCGATAGAAACCCTATCAAGACGAACTGCCCTGTGACTTTCCAAGGCTGTAAACCTCTACAGGCGCAGAAAGCCTCATCTTTCTTCCACACATGATTAGCCATCAACAAACATCAACTACCATTAAGACTGTGCATGACATTATCATACTGTAGCCTTCTATGTGATGAAAAAACTGAAAGGGTTACTTTAAGGCAAGAGTTTTAAAAGCTCCCCCGAGGTCCAGGTACAGTTATTTCTGCGTTTTTTGAGGAGTCAGATTTGTAAGTAATAAAGGCAGATGAATCGGTTATATATACTTGTGACTCAGCACACTTTAGAGGAAAAAAAAAAAAAGGGAATTTGAAGTCAACTGGTTACAAGTGTATTCACTCTCTGAGAGCGCGGATACCTTGCAGGGCTGTAGTCTAGTTTACAGGCCAACACCAAGTATTATCCCCCAAAGGTCACCTCAACATACACGGATACAATGAAACAAGCTGGAAGCCCTTAGCCAGAGCACCTCCGAACTTCCTTGGCAATAACGCGGCTCACTGCGCGGAGAATCAGGAAAGCCCGCGCGGTGCGGACACAGCAGCTTCCCACACGCCGAGTTTTCAGGAAACGTCAGCGTCTCCGCTGAGCGTCTGACGGGGGCCGGGGCCGAGTAACACGCTTGGGTTTGACTAGGTGACGCTGTTTTCCCTCCACGGACCTGTAAGTGGGACGCGTTCTTGAAAAAGAACACTGGGCTTTCCAGGGACCCGAGTTTCCCTCTCGGCCCGACGCGCCGGCGGGCCAGCTGAGCGGGCGGGGGGCGCGGCGGCCGCTTACCTGGCGCCCGGAGAACAAGGTCGCCGAAGAGTTCATGGGCTTTTCCTCCGCCCTGGGGAAAAGTCGGGAGGACAGTGTCACCTTAGAAACGCCATAGGCGCGCCCGCCCGGAGCGGCGGGGGCGACCCCGGCGCCCCGCGCCCACAGCCTGCCCGAGAGAGCCCACAAACTGCCTTCTCAACTCCAAAGCGCGCTCGGGACGCCGCGCTACGGCGTGGCAGCGGGGCCGAGTGGGTCTCGCGAGACCTCCGGGGCTGCGCTGCGTGGGGCCTGGGTCCCGTTTATATGACGGTCCTGCACCAGCCGCTTACGCCACCTAGTGGGGTCCTCGAAGAACCGGCTCTTTGCCAGTGGCAGAGATGGATCAAACAAAACTTGAGCTATGTCAGTGTCCCCATGCCTGTTGTCACTGAGCTGAATTCCTGGTCCATGAATGAATGCATGAATAGAGGTAAGGAGGGAAGCGCCCAGCTCTGAGCAAGGACAGCTGGCACTGGAGTCAGCTCTGAAGCACAAATGAAAAAAAGCTATTTAAACAACGTTGTTCAGACTCGATATAGCTCTATGATAGCAACCGGAAGAAGCAATGGCACTCTGTTGTGACAAAAGTTGACCATATTCTGGGCAAATCTAAACTTTTTCACATGTAGTTTCCTCTTCAAAATACTACATAGGAATTGGGTGATGAAAACATGGTATTTTCTACATCTAACCTGAGTGCCCACCTCTTTCCTCACCCCTTAGGCAGCATGAGTTGTCCTTAGGTGCCAGGGAGTGGGCCATGCATGAGTTCCGACCCATAGGCATCACCAGCAAGAAAAATTACCAAATGTTTTATAGTAGTATTTTCACATTGAAGACCAAGACTCATGTCGTTCTCCCTATTTCATAATTAACCCCCAAACCCTACTGCTGTCGAGTGGATTACGACTCACACCTTCACTGTAACGCCTGGAGCAGATGCCCCCTATCTTTCTCCCCAGTAGGTGGTAGGTTTGAACCACCAATCTTTCCATTAGCAGCCCCGTGCTCCCAACCTACAGCACACCTAGGAATTTAGTAAGTAACAGAGTAAAAGACTTCACCTTCAAAATTGTAACTTACCAGCTTTTTGACAGAGAAAGCTACCTACCATAGGTTATAGCCTAAGCAATGGCAACTGAATAATTTTGTATGCAATAACAAGGGCTTCATTTTGTTAGCATCTTGAAAAGAAAAATTTATCAAAACAGTCTTTGCATTTGCCGCTGCCAGTTCAATCAAGTAAAATCTCATTTATATGAGACAAAGCATGTTTAAAGGCTGCTATTCCTTTTTGCTGGAGCCCTAGTGGTATGAATTGGGCTGCTAACCACCAGGTCAGCGGTTCAAATCCACCAGCCTTTCCAAGGAAGAAAGATGAGGCTTTCTACTCCTGTAAATGCTTATATTCTCGAAAACCAACAGAGGAAGTTCTGCTCTGTTCTATAGGGTCACTATGAGTTGGAATTGTTTAGTATTCTTTTTTGCTGACAGTACTAAACTGTAAAAAAAAAAAGTTACATTATCGAGAATGTGTGAATTCAAGTCAATACTGAAACTATTACATTTTAACCAGATTAAACTACATTGCATTTTCAATTTCAGATCAAATAAAAAGGTTCACATGTTATACAGAAGGTTAATTTAATCCATTTCCTTCAGTAATATCCATTTGCTAGTTGGATATGGATGGAAATGATGTTTGCCAGGAACTGCAAACATTACAGATCTTTACACAAGGTCACGTGTTGATATTGCCACACAGACATGTTTCAGCACCAACACAATACATGACATACACCAAACTGTCTTGATAGACAAAAGTGAGATAATGCAAAATTTCATCTTAATAACTTATTACACATTTTAAAAAAGTTTAAAACGTCTCATTCATTTAATATAAATTTGCATAACATTACACAATGGTTTCATGGGCTGTCAGGTTCTCAGTTTAAAATACCATTTTTCTTTTCAATTTGTACCACTGATGACCTTTTTTCAAAAACACAAAGTTTAAATTCATTATAATGTATTGGCTAGAATAACCAGTATTTCCCTCATGAGAAAAACATGTTTGAATTGCCACATTATCTGCGGGGTATTTATGTAAATTATTTATAGCTGGTTAGCAGGATTTTATTCCTATGATGCTCATCCAGATGGAGTTGTCACTCTGAAAGTTCTTCTATTCAATTAATGACAAAAGTGAGTGTGTAAATGTAATTAGTCATTTAATTGTACATGTGAAAAATGCTGAAATAGCAAGTAATTTTGTTTTATAGAACTTTACTACAATTTAAATATATATGTAACATCGATTTGGGGTCTGTTTCCCACTTAATATTACCAAATCGATGCATCTGAATTATGGTACTGGCAAAGAATACTAAAAGTCATTGGTTGCCAAAAGCACCAAATCTATCTCGAAAGTAGTCCAGCCAAAATGCTCCTTAGAGACAAGGATGGTGAAATTCCGTTGTGCACTTTGGACATATGTTGTCAGGAAAGCCTAGTCCCGAGAAGGGCATCATGCTTGACAGAGGAGAGGCAAAACTGGAAGGCACTCAACAAGATGGACTGACAGTGGCTGCAATAATGGTCTCAACCATAAGAACAATCGTGAGGGTGGGACAGGACCAGACAGGGTTTCAATCTGTTGCACATCATAGGGTCGCTATGAGTTAGTACATGCTTCCAAATACTCTTGGGAAAGGATCTTTAAATATATGCATAATATTCCATGGAATGCCAGAATAACCAACATCTATCTTGGGAGAAGTAGATCCAGAAGGCTCCTTAGATGTGAGACGGCAAGGCTTTGTCTTGCGTACTCTTAACATGTTATCAGGAGTGACCGTCCCTGGAAGACATCATGCTTGCATAAGTAGAGGATCCGTGAAAAGAAGGAAGGTCCCTAATGAAAACAGCCTGACACAGTGGCTGCAAAACACGGGCTCAAACCTCACAATTGTGAGGATGGTATAGGATGAGCAATTTTGTTCTGATACACATTGGGTCACTCACTGTCTGTCACACTGACTCAGCAGTATCTAACAGCACTGTATTTTTCTAACATATGAGACACTATTATTTCTTAAACCATTTCTCAACTGTTCATATGTATCATATGTGATTCTTTGAAACTAGAAATGACATTTTGATGAATACTTTCATTCTGAAGTTTTATGCAAGTCTGATTATGTTTCATTAGGACGCTGTCAAAGAAGTGGCTTATAGTGCAGAGGATCTTAAGGCTTTTAACCTACGTTACCATACATTATTCAGGAGGATAGTGTAGACAACTCATGTATCAATGGCAAGCGGGAGGTTCAAAAAGTGTTCATGGATCTTTCCATTAGCTAATTGAATCCCATTGTTCCATGGACCTTTTTGAAGGACCTCTGACTGCATGCACCAAGTATTTTTATTGATAACAATGAAGCAAATTCAGCCACAGGTCTATTCAATCCTTGCCCATCTCAAAGTTAACACACCAAAGCAGCTAGAAGACAGACAGACACTACTGCTAAGGAAGGCAGGCTCAAATTCTTTCTTAAAATTCCTCAACCGTAAATTGGTAAAATAATCAATAGAAATGCTTCCCACAAAAGGCCCATAGTGTTTTTCCAAAACAAAAGTTACAAAGACAGAGAAGTCAGTACCAAATGACCAAAGAATTTTATTCAACTAAATTCTATTTCATGCATCAGCATGACAGTCTCCCCTATTTATTAGACTTTGGCAATTACAAAAACAAAAACAAGCAGCCTTGTACAGAACAGTGAAAAGGCCAAGGACAAGGGCGGCCTACAATTTTGCTGTAGGATAAATATATTGTTTAAAAGGCCTCCCCCCTCTTTGGCCATTATCAATTCTCAGTTCAGATCATTAAATACAGACACCTGTTCAAAATCACTTCTTTACTTCTCCAAGATCCTCGATGCTGTCATCATCCACCTAGAAAACACAGGGAATGGCATGTTCATGAATCAGGGTGCCCAGTGAGAACAGAGAAGCAACAGCTTTCCACACGAGTTTGTGTGGCTGCACATGGGTTACAGTCTTACCTCTGGCCACTTCTCCTGGATGACATCGATGATGTCATCTGTAAAGTCACCCTGAATGATGATCTCATCCTCTCCTGTCACTGAGGCACCACAGGAGAATTTCTGAGCAAAAAACCTTTGTGCTTCTTTAAGATCAATTTCTGTGTTGTAAACAAAGAAGGGATGAGACAATTGAAAGTCTACATCAAAGATATTCTGCCATTCTAAAAAGTCTGCCTGCAAGTTAAATCCTAAAAGAGTGCTTCAATAAACTTATTTTTCTCAGAAGAGTGATTGCAAATGACCATAGATAAATGGTCTTAATAAATCAATTGCTATTTCTAAGGTCCGATAAAGCCTGAGCATAAAAAAGGGAAAAAACAGCACCACTCAAGTTATGCAAACATATATGGGGGGGCTGGGGAGGGGTGTTCAAATGTTCTTGGAAAATGGGATGAGAAGATAATGGAATTTTCCAACACACTTCTAAATGTTTCCCTGAGTAGTTAAGAGCAAAAACAACCTTAAGTCCTAGCACACATCAATTCCTAGCACTGCGCTCAAAGCAGGAGGGAAGTCCTCCTGTTTGCCTCCCTTTTACAAGACAGATTTACAGCAGGGAACTACACCTCATGTTTGTAATGTGTCCCAGGGTGGCTTTTCAATCTGTATTGAAGGGACCTTGGTATACATCTTACTATCTTCTCGGGACCAAAGGGACTCTGAATCAGGAGTCCTGCCACTCGTCTGCCCTCCCCTTTTCCTGCCAGTCCCGGAGGGGACGGCCCCCAGGAGTCCCTGCCACCACGCCTGCCGAGGCACAGCACCCAGCAGCTTCACGTGAAATGCGACATAAAGTGTGCCTCTTCAGGGACCCCAGAAAGAAAGAGGCTATGCCAGGCAGCCCTTTCCCCAAACAGACAGTAAAGCTGTATTCTGAGAAGCAAACTTTCATTTTGCATGTTGTTAGTGAAAAGTTTCTTATTTTAAATGCACAGGAGGCTGAACTCACCGAAAGTTGCAAGGCCACACACTCTTGTCACATATTTCTTCTTTGCTCTGGGGATTTTGGCTATCGTCACCTTTTGTGGTACTGTCTTCTTTTTCTGTTTTATTTGACCCCGTCCACCTTTATTATTAGGAAAGAGCTTGGCATTAATTACTTTGCTTTTAGTATAAATAATGACAGAACATGACGACTTTACATTGGTTTGCTTTCATAAGGTAGCAGAAGCTAAGCTTAACAATCTTTCCTTCTGGAACCCAAAACTAAAAAGATACTCGTCCGAGTATTTGTTCAATAAATGTATGTACTGAGGACACAAAATGAGCAGAGCAGAGTCCCTGCCCTCCGGGACTGACTGACAGGCTAGGGAAGGAAATCGGAGAAAGTTATATAATGACAGCAGCTGGACATGTGCAGGTGGACCTAGCCAAGGCACCCCCACAGCTCTGTTCACAAGGGCTTCCTCTGCTTCTAGACTAAGTGACACCTACACTAAGGGACTGCCTAGGAAGAAGGGCTGCGACGTAGAAGAAAGGATATTCCAGAAAAGGGGGTAGGAAAAGGCATTTGGGAATGACATTTGTTCCAATCAAAGGACACTGATGGCAGCGGAAGCCTGACCAGGCGCTAGCAGGCTAGTACCTCAAGCTCTGGTACTTGGACTTCGCACTGTGGAAGAGAAGCCACGAGAAGACAATGCAAGAGTGAAATAACCAGAGTTGTGTCTTATCAGGAAGTCCCCTGACTACAAAGAGTATGTGTGTGTGCGCTTGTGTTTCTCGGGAGAGGGTTGTGAAGAAAGCAGAATGAAGAGCCAGTGAGGAGTCTCTTGCCTTAGTTCCAGTAGAAATTAACTGAAAGCTGAGCCACAGCAGTGGCAACAGTAGCAGTGGTGAAGCACAGGATAGGAAAGACTAAGTAGAAATGAACAGAACTTAGAACTGGATTTTGGGTAAAGAGAGTGCCTGAGGTAGTTCTGTTTCCGACTTAGATGCCTAGATACAAGCCGTGTTTCACCCACCACACAAAGGAGTGGACGCCCTGAGTGTGAGCTTGCTGGGAGACGGGCCAGGTGGGCAGATAGATTTGGGAATCCTACTTGGATCATGGGTGGCAGAAGGCAGGGAAGTGGTAGCAGCATTCAGAGAGAATAGGCTGGGTGGAAGGGCAAGAGGACAAGGACAGAAACCCTGGAAACAAACTTTTATGGGACAATTGGAAAAAGATGACACAGGAGACAGAGAAGTGGCAGATGATTAGGAGAGCTGCAGAAACCAAAAGAGCTGGACACCCCCAAAAGGACAGCATGACGAATGCTCATGCTGTTTGGCAATCACCCAGGCACCGGGGATCTTTCATCAGAGGGCGTTCAGTGGCGAGGAAGTCTGCTTCAGATGAACCCAGCAAGTCTACTCTTCACAGAAGAGAAGTTTGCTGAGGAAGGACAGAAAGGAGAACAAGGTGGAAACAGACATGGGTTCTCCGAAGATTTTTTTTTTAAAGATGAAAAGTGCCCCAAACATTTATAACCTAATGTTAGTCACAGGACCCCCCTGGTGATGCAGTGGGTCATGGAGTGCTAACTTTGGGGTCAGCAGTTCAAACCCACCAGCCCCTCCCCAGTCTGCTCCTATGAAGGTTTAGTCTCAGAAACCCTAAGGAGCAGTTCCTTCTCTGCCCCGTGGTGCCACTATGAGCCAGTACTTCAACGGCAGCAGGTTTGGGATCTTTTACGGGGGTGGGGGTTGAGATGGGGGTGTTGTGCTAGTCTAGTCATAGATGAGAAAATGAATGAAGAGGAGGAAACAGATGGAGGGACAGGATGCAAAGTCTCCATGGGGGGGGGGGGGAGAGGAGAGATTCGCTTCAGAATGGAGCAAGAACACAATGGCAGGCACACACAGAAGGTGCAAAAGTTCTCCACTCGGCTATGAGCAGTGGTCAGGAGTAGAATCTTTCATGAATGTACTCATTCTAGTTAAACAGGACACACGGGTATTATAATAACATGGTGAGCAAGTGCAAATATTCTTAACAAGCTGGGTGGTCACTTTTTATGTATACATACAGGGCAAACAAGCAAGCTTGCTTAGGGCCAAGTCACTGAGGAAACCCACGGCGGCTATAGCCAGCACCCTCCTGGGACTGTGAGTCGGCACCCCTCTGTATGACGACACATGGGCAACATTAAAACAACAGGGAGATCATTCTTTTGGGATCCCTTTTACTAACACTCTCTTCTGTCCAAGGATAGGTGCATTTATGCAAAGCAAAACACAGATGGAAGTCTTACCTCTCTTTTGCTTTTTCTTCTCCTCCTCTTCCCCAGCCATTCCGTGACCTTCGATAATTCCAGCTTCTTGTTTGGGCGAATGTCCTAGAGGTACAAGTGAAATTCAAATGCACTAACATTATTCCCAACTGTCTTTAATGAAAGAACTCACCCTCCAGCAACTTTCCACACAACGAAGGCAACTAATGTACCAGCACCGGCACCTGACAGCTGCAAAGCACAGGATTTTATTGCGAGATCTCTAGTGAGTGGCTCTGGAAAAGCCAGGAGCAAGTCTGGAAGAGAAAACAAAAAGCCTTGGCTCTGTGGACATTAGGATGTATTAGCCATATGAAATCAGCATAAACTACTCAGCCCCCACAGCAGTGTTCAGCATCAAATTAAATATGACTTTTGCACCCAGAAAGTGCTCCAGGTAAGAAGAACCTCCTCTCCCTGCAGTCTCCATGATACCCTGGACAGACTACAGGGACAGCTGCAACAGGAGACAAAGACTCTTGCCCAACCACTGACAGTGACAGAGCAGTGACTGTCCCTATCAAGTTTCCAGATGGGGTTTCATAAAACCATTTGAAAATTAAAGCAGCAAATAGTGGAGCTATAGTGGCAAATTTAAGGAGGTCTATGTTCAGCTTAAGGAGCCTTGGTGGGGACAGTGGGCTAAACCTTGGACTGCTAACGGCAAGGCTGGCAGTTCAAATCTACCAGCCACTCCTTAGGAGAAAGATGAGGCTATCTATTCCTAGAAAGATGTAGATGTAAAAATGTGAACCCTAAGGAGCAAATCTGCTGTCTTATATGGTCACGATGAGTGACAATCAACTCAGTGGCAGTGGGTTTTTGGGTCTTTTTTAAATCCGCAGTCTAAGGAGGCCTGGTGGGCTCAGTGGTTAAGTACTTGGCTGCTAATTGAAAGGTCAGCAGTTTGAGCCCATCAGCAGTTCTACGGGAGAAAGGCTTGAAAACTGCTTCTGTAATGGGAGTCCTACGGGGCAGGTCTGCCCTGTCCCATAGGGTTGGCTGAGTCAGAAATGAATGGATAGAAACAGGCCCAGGCTTATTCCCAGCCTAGGCTCTGAATGCCTCCTGCCACTACCCTCATTTTCACCAGGACAACAGACTCCGCCTGCCACTTCCTTTCCTTGAGCAATGAAATAAAAGTAGCCCTTTGTACCCCCCTCTCGGTCTTTGTCATTCTGGCCCCGACAGAGTCACACCGACAACCATTCACTGGAGCAAATCTGGCCCCTCATCCCCACCGCCCCTTTCCATCTCAGGCACCAGCAACTCCATTCTTCTAGTTGCATGGATCAGAACCATATTAGACCCCTCTTTTCTTCATACCCCACACCTAGCATGTTAGCAAATCTGGTCAATACCACCCCCAGGATCTATCCCAAATCCAACCAGCTTCACCCCCTCCACTTCCCACCACTCTGTGTCATCAATTCTTGATGTGAGATTATTACAACAGCCTCCTGTCTAGTGTCCCTTATACCCCTTCATCTATTCTCAGCAGAACAGCCAAAGTGATGCTGCGGGAACAAAAGTCAGACAGATCATCCTGCTTAAAACCTTCTGGTAGCTCATCTCACTCACAGTGAGAGTTAAGACTTTACAATGGTCTAGTACTCCCCCATGACTTTGGATTTCAGCTCCTCTCTGCCTCAGTCAGTTCCGGGTACAACATGCCAAGTGCTCCCACCTGGCACGCCAGACACCATTTGGCTCACCCTTCACTTCGTTTAGGTCTTTATTCAAATGTCCTCTTTCCTGTTCCTCCTAAACTAAATTTCATAGCCCCTTTCCAACATCTCCCAGCTCCTCCCCTCTGTGTATCACAATTCAACATACAAACGTACTGCTTATTTTGTTTCCCTTCTTAGAATTTCATTTCTTTAAGAGCAGGGGATGTCACATTTACACTTTATCCTCAGACAGCTAGAACAGTGTGCAACACATACAAAGGGCTTCGACAAGCTGTTGGGAAAAGGTTACGTGAAGAATGACGGAATTTTCCCACAAAGTTGCCTCATAATAGCATCACAATAAATAATTTCTTAAATGAATATATTTGTCCTAAATCAATTATTTCTCTCAATTATACAACTTGATACTTATAACATTATTCATGATACTTATAACATTATACATGCATGCATTTCATGTACAAGAGCTTTGAAGAAAAAAAAGTTCTTACCTACGCTAAGTTTTGCAAACTCCTTTGGAAAATTCTTCTCTAACCATTGTCTACATTTAGTGACATCAGGCATATATTCACAGTACTAGGGGGGAAAAACGACAATCAGTTAAACTGCTGAAGAGTCACAGCAGAGCCTTTTCAAGACACCAACACATTTTATTAAGAAATCATTCCTTGTGCCTGCTATAAGGAGTCCTGGTGGCACTGTCTCGTAAGCTTTGGACTGCTAACCTCAAGGTCAGTCGTTCAAAGCCACCAGCCACTCCACGGGAAAAAGATGAAGCTGGCTGTTTCCATGGGAATGTACAGCCTCAGAAACTATTTGGGTTGCTGTGTTTGCACTGACTTGATGGCAGTGGGCTTGGTTTTATACCCGCAGGCGAGAAATGAGGCCATCTGCTCCCACAAAGATATATAGTGTTGGAACCCCAAGAGAGCCGTTCTACTCTGTCCCACAGGGCCTCTATGCGTTGGAATCGACTTGATGTGCTTTACACCTGCTAGAGGAAGACTTTTCTCCCCATCAAACGAGAATGAACAAAGACAAACATGTCTCCCTGTGTCTTGCTTTGGGCACACAGAGGACTCATTATTTCCATGGCCTGCCGACAGAACCTGACTGAGAAGTTAATTAACAGAAAATCTTAAATATAGTATCTGCTCTCTCTCCTCTGCTTGGACATGTAAACTTCAGACTTGAAGACTACTCTGATGAAGAAAATCAAAGGCTCAAAGAAGAAACTAACCCACAGAACCAGTCTGTTCTGACCAGGGACACAATTGAACGTCGAAGACAGAATGGCAGAAATAGGGAAAAACTCACATTCCTAAGGGGTCACGCCTCCTTAACGAGTTAAGAGAATAAGGCAAGCTTCCAGACTATCCCCGGAACATACCCTCTGAACTTGGAATGAAACCTGTCGCTACAGGTCACTATTCAGCCAGATAACTGACTGGCTTATGAAGCAAGAAATATCACATACGAGTAATGTCTACCTTAAACAATCACTGTATGACACCAAAATTTAACCAAAAGCAACGGTGAGAAGGCAAGGAGGGAAGCCCAAAGCAAAGAGAACAGAACAAATATAGAATGATGAAAATTCTAACAATGGCATGGACTGTGGGTGTGAAAGTTGCTAAAGGGGAACCTAATTTGCTGCATAAAATTTGTTATTATGCCTTTTATGATCAACACAAAAAAGGCGTGTTTCATTTGCTGACTGTTCATGATTTCCATGCCAAAAAAAAATCCAAATTGAAAAAGAATGACACGAGTCAAAATCTGAAGAATTCATAAGCCCCATAACATTTCTCCAAAATCAAAGTCCTCTACACCTACTGTTATTTCTGACCCACAGTGACCCCACAGGACAGAGGAGAACTGCTCTGTACATTTAATACAAGCAGACTGTTACATCCTTCTCTTTCAGAGCGCCTGGTGGGTCGAGAGCACTGACGCTCTGGTTAGCAACTAAGCACTTAAGCACAGCACTTCAAGGACCCTTCTTTGCTCCACAAGTCAGACCTACTGCTGTTCAAATTCTGACTCATACAGACAGGGCAGAGCTGCGCCTCAGGGTTTCCAAGGTTGTCAATTTTATGGGCAGCTGGTGGGTTTCACCTGCAGACCTTTCCGTTAGCAGCTGGGCACTTAACTACTCTACAACCAAGGTGACTGAGAAGTCTCCATGAGAGACGGGCTGAAACCCTACTATCAAATGATGGAACATAAAAAAGGAGGAAGCAAGCTTGTAAGTTCACTCTAAATGACTTCAACTAAAATAAAAGAGAAATAACAAAACAAACTGGGAAGCACCCCATTATTTATGACTTGGAACAATTTGAATCACAGTAATATTAACTGGTCTTTAAATATGAAACTAAAAACAACTAGTCGACATTCACCCATTTCAAGAGAAGTAAAAAGTCTATGCTGTGCTAAAGTCATTAGTTTAAAAAAGGGACAGGGGGTGGGCAAGACTGGCAAGAGTATCAACTGAAATCTTTCCACAAGCTATGAAGCACTGGCAGCACAGACTCAGCACTGGCAGACACGTTTCCTTACTCTCACATGCTTTCACACGCATAGGACGAGACTGAAAATAGCATGTCTTCAGTTAGTTCTCACCGTGTTATCTCTGTTCTTTAACACTGTAAAGAGATCTGTTGGGGGAAGATTTGCCCAATGCAATATGTCATTTGATGTTTTGAGTATTGCTTCCATGCACATGGATTTTGGATCCAAATAAAATAAAATCCTTGATAACTTTTGACCAACTTTACTGAAATAAAGGAGCCCAGGTGTTGGGTTGCTACTCGAAAGATCAACGTTTCAAACCTACAGTCATTCTGCGCAACAAAGATGAGGCTATCTGCTCCCACAGACATTTACATCCTCGGAAATCTATACAGGGACACTGTGAGTCAGTCGGAATTGACTGGATGAAAGTGGGTTTTATTGAAATATAATTTATATACAATAAAATGCCATTTAAAGTATACTAAAAAAAGACCTCAACTGCCTACATTAAAAATTTAATAAATTATTATTAAATAATAATTTAAAAAGGACTTACCTCTGTTGGTAATGAACAGACTAGAGGAAAAGAAAAAAATGAAAATTTAAATACAGACACAGGGCTCATCACTTTTATCACTTTACATTGAAAAAATGCCTCATTTTGACTTACTCCCTATAACTTTTATATACCATGTTTTTCAAATGCTACCCATTCTTGGCTTTTCTTAGGATAAACCGCATACAATGATGAGACACTCACTAGCTTGATTTTTCCATCGAAAGAGTGTCTCTTTCAGTCTAAAGTGGTATTCTTGCTATGTAGCTATAAATGGAATCTAATTCTCAAAAAACATCTGACAAACCTAAAGTGAGGGACATTCTACAAAATAACTGGCCTGTCTACTTCAAACATATCAATGTCTATAAACACACAGCAGATTCAGAAACTGTTCCAGAGCAAAGGAGACTCCGGAGCAGTTGTACTCAGCACACATGAGGTCTCCATGAGTGGGAATCAGCTAAGAACCATAGCAAAGAGATCCATCAGTTAATGCAACACAGGATCTTGGGTTTGGGGGGCCATATTGAATATTATTGCGTGACAGAAATCTCAGACAGGTCTGTAGACTAAACAATAGTACTCTTTTAACGTAGTAAATCTGGATGGAAACTATCGGGGGATATTGTGAACTATTCTTGCAACTCTGCTGTCAATCTGAAATGATACACAAATTACTCAGTCAAATCTTGGTGGTAGAGGTAAAGAGGTATTCCTTGTGTGAGTCATTAATATTTACTGAATTTTCAAATATCTTCACAATGAAAAACTGGAGGAGAATCCATGTAAAATATGATTTTCAAAGTTTTATATCAGGAAAATGAAAATAGTCCAAGATGCTAACAATACAGGGCCTTTATAATTAATAAATTTGTGTTGAAAACACTCAAAGGGAAGGAAAAAAGAAAACCCTGAAGTTCAAAGAATGTATCCTGGTATTCAAGGTCCCCTCCACACAGTCACAATATTCCCATCCTATTCATGCTATTTTTCTTCAGGGATTCCACACCCCCCCACACTTTCCTGCCTCTTCTCCTCTGCCCTTTTGTGCCTACCCAAACACTTTTTCTCAAGAGCCTGGTTCAGTTTAGAAGTCAAAGGAATTTCTCTCTCAGTGTATTTTCTTTACTAGCTAGTACTGACTACTTGCTAAGTTCTTGTGTTACCTACTGTACCCAGAGCTTTACACAAATCATCTGACTTAAGAAGATGGAAGATGACCTTTATTTTACGGACTTTAGAAACAGACCTCGAAACCTGACCGAACTGCAGTCACTTAGATATCCAGATGAGTCACTACCATTTTGAGCCCAATAACAACACTTCTACAACACTTAAACACCAGGTGAGGTCTTGACAACACTCACAAGAATGTTGAGAGCCATAAGGGGGCTTTGTCTAATAGCTTCACTACACACTTCCCAGCATATGAAACACTGCCAGACACAAGTGCTCAAAAATGTTCAATGAGTGAATAAATAATCTAGCCCTGGTATTGTTCTGAATCTTCAAAGATTTCTAAAATATTCCCAAGTGCTAATAAGAGCTTTTCTTTTTTTTTTTTTAAATAAATCATTTTACAGCTCTTCTAACAATCCATACATAAATTGTATCAAACAAAACGTACATGTTGCCATCATCATTTAAGAGCATTCCTAATTCACAAATCTCTGTACTGAAAATGAGCAAGTATACTCAAATGGAAAAGACCACCCTAATGTGGTGGTTAGGTGCCACTGAGTCCAGCAAAACTCATAGCAACCTGATGTACAGCAGAACACAACACTACCAGGTTCTCCCGATTCTCCCAACTGTCGCTATGCTTGAAGCCCTTGTTGCAGCCACTCTCTCAATCCACACACAGGCAAAGAAAATGCCTACATCTGAGGACCTTCCTCTTTTTCGAAGACTCTCAACGTTATCACAAATGATGACCTTCTCCAAGAACTGGTCTTCTGATAACTGTCCAAAGTATTATAAGATTTCTTGCAAGATATGACAAAATACCCATTTATAAACTATCAAGGGCTCATGCAGGAGGGGGTAGTGGGGAGGGAGGGGAAAAATGAGGACCTAATGTCGGGGGTTTAAATGGAGAGAAAATGTTTTGAGAAACGATGTACAAATGCGCTTTACACAATTGATGTGTGTATGGATTGGGATAACAGTTGTATGAGCCCCTAATAAAATGTTAAAAAAAAAAAAAAAAAAGATTTCTTGCCATCTCTCTTCTAAGGAGCATTCTGGCTATACTTCTTCCAAGACAGAACTGTTCATTTTTCTGGCACTCTACAGCAGTCAGTATTCTTCAACATCATCATTCTAAAATATCAATCCTTCTTCAGTCAGATTTCCATACTGAAGGCTGCAGTCTTCAATCATCACTAAGAAGAGATACTCTTAAGTGCAATAGCATATTTCAGCTATTCTTCTGACATCCATTTTGATATTTTGTTTCTTTCCTGTCTTTTAAATGATTGCTTTGTTCATGACTGCTATCCTTGATGTTATCCCACAACTCATCAAGTCTTCGAGCATTAGTGTTCTAAGGACCACACTAGTTGCATCACATCTATTCTTGAGGTGGTCTATAAAATTCAGGTGAGAATTTCCATAACAAAAGCATGGAACTCAAACCCCCCATTAAAGAGAAATGGAAAAACAAGCTCTGGTACATTCATACTATGGATGATGCATCAGCGAAAAACAAATGGCAACTCTCTTAAACACCACAAGACATGGACAAAGAGTATATTAGGCTTAGCAAACTCAGTCTTACAAAAATAAGTATTTAATAACACCATTGCTATAAGGAGAAAAAGAAATATAATCATGGTTTAACAGGATATCGCTGTTGATTTCATTTCTTGAGATGGGCTGTGTAAATTTATAGTTTCTTTAATAAATATATATCTCACCAGCCTGTGTGATCTTATCAGGTATCTAAGACCCAGAACAAAATCATACCCAATGTGAAGGGGGGTGGGGCATGGAGTAGAGACCCAACGCCCATCTGTATACAATTGGACATCCCCTCACTGAGAGGTCACAGGGAAGAGATGAGCCAGTCAGGGTGCAGGATAGTACAGATGAAACACACAACTTTCCTCTACCTCTTTGGGGCTTCCTTCCCCCCACTACCATGACCTCAATTCTACCTTACAAGTCGGATTAGACCAGAACAAATCGGATTAGACCATACTGCTACAGATATGAGCCCACAACACAGGGAATCCAAGATAGATAAACCCCTCAGGGCCAA